CTACCGATAATGCTCTAAACCAGGTGCTTCATAGAGACCCTACCGATAATGCTTTAAACTAGGTGCTTCATAGAGACCCGACCGATAATGCTCTAAACCAGGTGCTTCATAGAGACCCTACCGATAATGCTTTAAACTAGGTGCTTCATAGAGACCGACCGATAATGCTCTAAACCAGGTGCTTCACTTATTGATACCCCCCTTACTCTGACCTAAACACCTCAACACTCAAATCCCCGCCTAAACGAAATACGTAATTAATTCCCACAATCCACCTTAACAGCACCGGCAGTAACCACTAATAACGAGCGCCATGAATAACCAACAAACACAACAATGATAACCAAGAGGACAGCAAGGAAACGGGAGGTGGGATAATAGCCATTGTTAGGTCATTTCCCTTTTCACTAAATTTCCTCCCTACCAATTATCGTTTTGTTCGGGACTTTTATAATTGTAGTTCGCGTAATCGAAATTTCCTGGCCGGAATTTTTTTTCATTGTAGACGGTGGTGGTGGGGTGAGTAGTGAAATTTGTTGTACGGTAAATAAGTGAGAGTAAAAGAGAGACAGACAGACAGACAGACAGATAGACAGACAGATAGACAGAAAGAGTGTTTGTGTGTACGTTGTGTGTCTTTGTTTTGGTATTATTCGATAAAATGCTCTCAGGTAATTTCACTGAAGTCACAATAATTATAATACTGTAAGGTTAATTGTCTTAGATCATAGTCCTAAAAACAAACTTACCAGACGTTCGTTAAACTTCACTTTTTTTTTCTTTACGGTCAAACTAGTTTTTTTTTTTTTTAAGAATTACAATTATAGTGTTAAATGATGAACCAGTTACTGCGTGCTTCGAGTGCAGACGACACCAAAACATTGTAGTAAATCCTTATCTTAATGACCAACAAAACTGTTTACTTGATGGGGAATAATCTCTCCAACAACGAGGTTATATATACAGTATATATTTAAGGTATCATCTGTGCTACATAACTTCAGGGTTTGGTATAATAATGTTTAGTATACAAGAAGGGAACTCTATAGACTACGGTGTTGTGATCTGTTAGGGGATACACCAGATACTGAGGTACTACTACTCCTTCTTTCTCGCTCCTCCTGAGAGAGAGAGAGAGAGAGAGAGAGAGAGAGAGAGAGAGAGAGAGAGAGAGAGAGAGAGAGAGCATACATTAATAAAAAAAATCTTCCCACGATGAAAGTAAATTTATCTTTGGTAACAGCGTTGGGAGAGCAATTGTCACCTGTCGACAATGTGGCGCCCGTAACACTCCGGGATTTGTATAATCTTGCCTTAAAAAGGACCAAAATTCCTGACCAGTGACCACCGGCCTGGCCTCCGTGGCTACTCTCACCCAAGGCGGACCAAGTTTTCTGGCTGAGGTCAAGTGAGGTGGTGTGTCCAGACTGGCCGTCACTCTGTGGGGTATACTCCTCCCTGGCCCTGTCTCCCGCTACCTGACAACCTTCTTTTTGTAGTTTAACTTCGATTTGTTAGTTTTATTTGCGATAGGCTTTAACCCATCGCTGCTGCCTTCCATGCTGGCTACAGGATGAACATTTAGTTATGCTTCCTTCCATAGTTGGTAGACTGTACTTAATAAAATACAAAAACTACAGTGGTTACGGGATAGACACAGGGAATGTTATTTTGTATAATAATTGAGGAAATAAGAATCACCAGATCTTGTGTTCAATTATGAGTTCAAATGTTTCCCGTTTTTCATCAGTAGGGGAGGACGAGGTAACTGGGAAGAGACAGTCAGGTTCGGTACATCTTAACAGTTTACAGTTATTGCCAGTTACTCAAGATGACATTATGTTATTGGTCATCATCCTGCAGCGCCCAGTAAAGTTATATTGCATATTCTTGACACAATACTGGAGCCTATGGGTGTACGTTACGAGTTTTTAATGGGACAAAAATACAAATGGGTGTTATGTTAACTGTGCACTTTTTTGGTTGTTCATATGCAATGTTCAAACTAGGATAACTTTGTACATTGTTCAGGAATTACTTAAACATTCATAGGTGATATGACACTGGTGATATCTACTATACATACATTGGTTCTAAATAATAATAATAATACCACTACTATTACTACTACTACTACTACTAATAATAATAATAATAACCACCACCACCACCACCACCACCACCACTACTACCACCACCACCACCACCACCACCATCACCACCACCACCACCACCACCACCACCACCACCACCACCATCACATCACCACCACCACCACCACCACCACCACCACCACCACCACCACCATTGTCTCCAAAAGCAATATCTTGTCAACTCACCCTCTCAATGACCTCTTTAAACTGTACAATTGTATCACTGTAACAAGCCCTCGAGCTAACCTCTAAAACGCATCGTAAAACCAGAGCACAAGAGGAAATGTACTTATGATTCTTTTACTCTTTAAATAATGATAAGAATTGGTCAGGGATTTTGTGGTTTAGACTAATAAAAGACGAAATTAAGATAATGTTGATATTCTAAATCTTATGGTCTATCAAAGAACCAGTTCGTCCATCGTGTTAGTCGTTTTCTTCCTTGTTTAGTTTTAGTACGTAATTTCTTTCGTATCAGATTCTAACCTTCTTTATAATTCACAAACGTAATATTTTTTTTTCTCTGCGTCTGGCCAGCTGGTAGACCATACAGGGGTCTACTTTCTTTCATTATTTTCATTTTGTCTTGCTGATCATTCACTCTCACTCCCTCTCACCACTCTTACTTTCTCTTACCACTCTCACTTTCTCTTACCACTCTCATTCCCTTTCACTACTCTTACTCCCTCTTACCACTCCCACTCCTCATCACACTCGCTAATTTCGCTCTCTCGCATCACTCTTACCTCACCCAGTCACTTCCGGTCACACTTTCTTCCCCTCTCATCATTCCCACTCCCTCTTAAAACGTTCACTCTCTCTTAATGGTTGCCCCTCGTGTACCGAGGATGGCCGGCCCAAGGGCCACCTTAAGGTGTAGAAGCTGTCGCCAACACAACAACCACACCCTGAGTTAACGAGCTGCATGACCCAGTGTTAAGGAATAGTCCGAGAAGACCAGACAACTCGCCAACTGCACTGGCTAACCACTACCCCGGAATACGATCCGCAAATCGATTACTGCTGGATAGATAGAGGAAAATGGCGTAAAGAAACTTTACCATAGTTTCACCCTACCCGAGGATCGAACTCAGGTCCTTTTGCCTGCGAAGTGAGAATGCTGACCATTACACCACAGGTGTCTCACACACACACACACACGTTCCAGAAACAACATGGTGTCAACTGTGAAGGTCATTGACATCTCCCTTAACCCCTTGAGTGCGATGACTTAACTCCTTGAGTGCGATGAACTTTTTTAGCCTTTTGAGTAAAACAATGATCTAAGCCTCTGGTATCTAAAATTGTATATACAAGAGGATTAAGTCAATATACTCTAGGGGTTGTCATCGTACTCATAGGGGTAAAGTCATCGTACTCAATTGGGTTAAGTCCACGCACTCAAAGGGTTAAGTCATCGTACTCAAAGGGTTAAGGGAGATGTCAATGACCTTCACAGTTGACACCATGTTGTTTCTAGAACGTGTGTGTGTGTGTGTGTGTGTGTGTGTAATGGTCAGCATTCTCAAAGGGGTTAAGTCATCGTACTCCAGGGGTTAAATCAGTGAACTCAAAGGGGTTAATTCCACGTACTCAAAGGGATTAAGTCATCGTAATAAAGGTGTTTAAATACAACATGAAAACAGTGACCTAAAAAAATAAAACACACACACAGACATAACTACTTATTACTAGATCTGTTCTCCAATTGGCAGTTATGAGAAAACTTACATAAGAATCTCTGAGAATCTGGATATTGATTCACTTTGTCTCTCGAGTTTACGATAAATTCTGTTTGAGAGATATTAACTAATTTCTTTTAATAATAATTGTTTATTTTTAATACTTTTTCAGTTCATATAGAAATTGTTGGGGTATAAAGGGTTAAATAATGTTAACTCTTTGAGGACGATGGTTTAACCCTTTGAGGACGATGTTTTAACCCTTTGAGGACGATGGTTTAACCCTTTGAGGACGATGGTTTAACCCTTTGAGGACGATGGTTTAACTCTTTGAGGACGATGATTTAACCCTTTGAGGACGATGGTTTAACCCTTTGAGGACGATGTTTTAACCCGTAGAGAGCATTCATAAAAAGGATTAATTTATACCTGCTCATAAGTGAACACATATCATTATCTTTAAATTCTCAGAATAATTAGGAAACTATTATAACACGGTTCTTTATTTTTGTCTGTGTGTTTTTATTTAGCTTAAGTCAACCAGTTTAGGTGTGGTCTTAACATCTTCAGGTAGGACGAGGTACACTTATTTGACGAACCTTTGTGAATCTATACAGTCAGAATAAGTTCGTACGAGCGTAAAAGAACTTGTTATTGATTTGTGTGTCGTATATTTTAAGGAGTGATATTTTAGACAGAGGAGACTAATAATTCTTAGTTTCCTCTGATGTTATGAGTCGTCGATCTTCGGTTATGTCCAATTTATTGTCTAGTTTGTTAGAGTCGTAATTAGAAGAGGAACGCACGAACCTGAAGCTTGGTGACGTGGGGGAATGTTCTCATGTCCAGCAGGTATTGGATAACGAAGAGGTCATGTGTGTGTGTGTGTGTGTGTGTGTGTGTGTGTGTGTGTGTGTGTGTGTGTGTGTGTGTGTTAGCCCTCGTTTTCATTTATCTCACAAGGTCGTGTACTAACCTGACCTAATTAAGACTGTAAGTGGTCTATTTATGATTTTAATTGATCTCCATGCATCATTACCCCCTGTTGAATATGTATTAACATTTTAAACCTTAAGTAATTGATTTTATTATGAGGGTTTGGGTCAAGATGTGAGCTGCCAGGTTTATAATGAGTTGTTTTTCTTCTCTTCCTGACCTGGTACAGATGCGTGTGGGACGAGCGAGGCGGCGCAGTTGGAGCAGCGGTTGAGATCTCTTGGGTGTGAGCTGGTAACACTGCGGTCAAGACTCCCGCCCGCACTCCACCACTCCCGCCCAACCACGCCCCCGACTCCCATCACCAACACCACCACCTCCGCCAACTCTTCCTACCACAACACCAACAACAACAACGCCGCCACCTCTTCCTCCAACAATACGAACTCTGCGTCCGGCACCACCACGATCAACACCACCTCCTCCACCACCGCCACTAATAACAACAAGAACGCCCAGACGCACAACGGCGCCCCTCTGCTGCCGCCCAACTTCCCTGTAGGGAACGGCACGCCCGCGTCAGCCAACTCCGAGAGTCGCATCACGCCCAACAGCTCCGCCTTGGCTGACGGTCTCAACTCCTCACAGTCCTTTCTTGCGGGTAAGTCAACTACAGCTCTTAGTATGACCTCCTGAGCCTCAGTGTCACGTCTGTTCTCACAGACTGTCACCTGTCTCTTATCTTTAAAAGAAATGTTCACTGTATGTACCAGAGTACTTTCTTACGGCTGGTGAACGATCTCTGCCTCCCGTGGGAGAGACCTATCATTTGTGTATCACTGTTCACCACATAACTCACCTGTCCACTCATGTGGGTGACGCCATCCATCACGTTCATCGACAGTCCATGAAGTGTGTCGACTATTAGGGTCGACATTCCATCATATAGACGGACGAACTATCCTTAACATGGGTCTACTATCTCATACATACACTGCCGAATATGCCTGAGGTGTGTAGACTATCCATCACGTGCGTCGAGGACTATCTCTGAAGTGTGTGGACCATCCTGGTGTTCCTGAGCTGCACGTGCCCCTGGGCCGCCCTCCATAATGGCCGGGAGAACCTCCTAATGCAGGTATTACTGCTGCCTGATTGCAGTCGCCCTCACCTAACTGATTGTGTGATTATTTTGATCGGCTGACTATTTACGTGCTCCCCTCATTAGCTTAATTCCACGTTTCCTCCGTAATAATTCATTGGCGTTGTAGACATTTACGGCCATTCATCTTCGTATTGATGCCTAACCGTAGCGAGCTCTTGGCATAATCTACTGCGGACCCAAGACCCAGACACAGGGAGATTAACATTTTTTTTCCTCTAAGGCGCCTCTTGTGCTCTTTAAAGCTACATGTTGTTTTTATTTTACCACGCCTGTTTTTATTACATATACGTTCACATCTTTTTTTTTTTAAACCCATAGGGAACTTTTTTGTAAGGAGATTTACTGTCTAATATGCAGGAGGAATATTTTCATTAAATCTGTGGTAGAAATTCTTAGGTTAGGTTAGGTTAGGTAGAGCGATTACGTAATATTATCCTCTGCGATATAATCAAGTTAATATTTCGATGTTTTGGCTCCAGTTCCAAGTTGTTGTTGTGTCTATCTATGCATTTAATTCGATACCCAACGAGTCTGGGTTTTGGATGTATGTATGTATGTATGTATGTATGTATGTATGTATGTACGTACGTATGTATGTATTTAACCTCTGACACACCACCACACCTCTCACACCCCCCCACACCTCTCCCCACACACACCCCCTCACCCTCCCCCACACACCCCCCACCCTCCCCACACACCCCCCCCCTCACCCCTCCCCACACACCCCCTCACCCCCCACACACCTCACCCCCACACTCTCCTCTACACACACCTCACTCCCCACACACCTTCCCACACCACTACCTCCCCACACACTCACCCCTCCACACACCCCTCTCACCCTCCCCTCTCACTTGTATGGTAGCTGATGGGCGTATGGCATATTTTTCAGCTTCCCGTAATGGAAACTCGTCTCTTGTCCTGGTCTTTACCTTCTGTTGAGTCCACCTGAGAAGAGCATCAATTTAAGTGCTGAGTTTGATAATGTCCAGACTAAACCTTGGCGAGGGGTAGGTAGACGGATGATGGATGGATGGATGGATGGATGGATGGACTAACTAACTAACGGACGGACTAACTGAGACGATTCGCTTTATTATGGTGGGAAAATACGACATGACAAACTTTTCCAAACATATAGGAATGATTTATCTCTCTCTCCGCCGCCTTGTGTGTGTGTGTGTGTGTGTGTGTGTGTGTGTGTGTGTGTGTGTGTGTGTGTGTCTGTCTCTGAGGAACACATCAAGACACTGTGAGTGATTTTAATGATCTCCTCCAGCTTGGCTTGAGAGTGTCTTAGGATTGACTGATTTTAGGCGTATAATTATCTATGTTCATAACTACAGTAAGGTAATCCACCATCTTCTTCTTCTTCTTCTTCATTCTTCCTTTTTTTCTTTTTACTCCTTCTTTTTAGTTCTCTTTCCTTCCGTGTGTACGTTTATTATATTTTATCTCCCTTTAACGCATAATCTTCTCTCTCTCTCTCTCTCTCTTTAACTCGTATACTATTTAGTCAAGTCATTTTTTATTAAGTCAGCGTCGCTCTTCTTGACCATTACCAGGAAGAGAAAAAAAATACAAACATGACCATTGGTTGAGACACTTTACACAGCTTTGTTTGTGTAAATTCTACGCAGTTGTGACTTAATTGTGTAAAAGGAAAAAAAAATATATGAATGAGGATCAAGAACTCACGTGAGGGTTGGAGAGATGATATCAAGTGAGTGTGTGTGGGGGGTGGGGGGTGATGGGTGCGTGTAAGGAGGAGGAGGAAGAGTGAGGTGTGGGGAGGGGAGGGTGTATGTGGGGTGTGTAAGGAGGAGGAGGAAGAGTGTGTGTGGGGGGGAGGTATGGGGGTGCGTGTAAGGAGGAGGAGGAAGAGGGGGGGGGGAGGAGGGTGTATGGGTGCGTGTATGAGGGAGGAAGAAGAGGAGTGTGTGGGGGGTGTATGGGTGCGTGTAGGAGGAGGAGGAAGAGGTGTGTGTGGGGGGAGGGTGTGGGTGCGTGTAAGGAGGAGGAGGAAGAGTGAGTGTGGGGGTGTGGGTGTAAAGAGGAGGAGGAAGAGGTGTGTGTGGGGGAGGGGTGTATGTGGGTGTGTAAGGAGGAGGAGGAAGAGTGTGTGTGTGGGGGGGAGGGTGTATGGGGTGCGTGTAAGGAGGAGGAGGAAGAGGTGTGTGTGGGGGAGGGTGTATGTGGGTGTGTGTAAGGAGGAAGAGGTGTGTGGGAGGGGAGGGAGGTGTATGTGGGTGCGTGTAAGGAGGAGGAGGAAGAGTGTGTGTGTGTGTGTGTAAGATAGAAGGGTATGTGTGTGTGTGGGGTAGAAGGATGATGTGTGTGTGTGTGTGAGAGTGTGTGTGTGTGGGGAAGGGTGGGGTGTGTGTGTGTGTGTGTGTGTGTGTGTGTGTGTGTGTGGTGTGTGTGTGTGTAAGGTAGAAGGGTATGTGTGTGGGGGGTAGAAGAATGTATGTGTGTGTGTGAGAGGGGGTGTGTGTGTGTGTGGGGTGTGTGTGTAAGGTAGAAGGGTATGTGTGTGTGTGTGGGGGTAGAAGAATGTATGTGTGTGTGGAGTGGGGTGTGTGTGTGGGGAAGGGTGTGTGTGTGTGTGGAGGGGGGAAGGGTGTGTGTGTGTGTGTGTGTTGAGAAGGATGTGTAAGCATAGAAATTAAAGTCAGGCCAACTTTAAACACCTGAACTCTCTCTTTTCGAACACACAGTCAGACTAATGCAACTTCCTATCGATCATGATAACCAAAAACTTTCAGCATTACATCGAGGACGTAAATCAGTTGATCATCCTCACTACAACCACCGATCATAGGTATATTAATTCACCTGTGTTCACCCTTTACCTTCATTCTTTATCAGCCACTGTGTCTATCAACTGGAGTCACGTCATCACATAGAGTAGCTTTATAAGTTTGTATGACGTAGTTAGAATCTTGGAGGGTGGGGTGGAAGGGTGAGGTTGGGGGAGGGGTGAGGTGGGGGTGAAGGGAGGGGTGAAGGGTGAGGTGGGGGGGTGAAGGGTGAGGTGGGGGGGTGAAGGGTGAGGTGGGGGGTGAAAGGTGAGGTGGGGGGGGTGAAGGGGTGGAGGGGGGTGAAGGGGTGAGGTGGGGGGGGGTGAGGTGGGGGGTGAAGGGTGAGGTGGGGGTGGAAGGGTGAGGTGGGGGGGTGAAGGGTGAGGTGGGGGGGTGAAGGGTGAGGTGGGGTGAAGGGGTGAGGTGGGGGTGAAGGGGTGAGGTGGGGGTGAAGGTGAGGTGGGGGTGAAAGGTGAGGTGGGGGGGGGTGAAGGGTGAGGTGGGGGGTGAAGGGTGAGGTGGGGGTGAGGTGGGGGGTGAAGGTGAGGTGGGGGTGAAGGTGAGGTGGGGGGGTGAAGGTGAGGTGGGGGTAAGGTGAGGTGGGGGTGAAAGGTGAGGTGGGGGGTGAAGGTGAGGTGGGGGTGAAGGGTGAGGTGGGGTGAGGTGGGGGGTGGAAGGTGAGGTGGGGGTATATCTGAAACCTCACATTATACAACTATGAAAATCAAGTCAGGGACACCAATTTTTTAACATCATTGATAAAAAATTTCAATGAGTATAATTTTAATGTTGATATTTACAGAGTTATTCCATTTACAATATATTAATTACCCCGCCTTCACACAGACAGAACCACGTAAACATTTTTTCTTTCTCTTAAATCAGTGTTGATCGTCTTTTATCACCACCATTTGACCCAGTAGCTTGAGTCACCATTGTTTACATGCTCAAAGAAACACCTCGGTATAAGATCAGTCCTTGGCATCATTACTTATTCACCATCACCCCTGGGTCGTCTTTACACACACACACACACCACCAAACACACTTTATTCAATTCTCACACAATGCTAGAAGCTATTACCGTTATTATTACCCCATGAATTACACCTGTGCCGCTCGTATTATTTACCCTGTTATCAATATCACCATCTCTGTAAAATAATCGGAGCGGTCATCGTGATAAGTTAACTCCTGTAGTCTCTCATTCACCATTATACCATCCCCCTCTACTCCCTTCCCCACACTGTTATCACCATCACCATCACCATCACCATCATCACCGCCGTCATCTTCCTCACTGGATCACTGAGCTCAATCTGTTATTCCCGGAGGAGGTAATCCTCTTCACTCTCATCTTTTATTGATTTATATTAATATAAAGAATTTAATAACAGCCAGACAGGTACTCAATCCCCTTTGTAAATTGATCGTTCACATATTTACTTACATAATGAACGAATTCCAAAAAAAATGCCTCTTGCCTCCTCTTGAATGTCTGACTTTAATTTTACGCCTGTATGCGTCGCTGAGGACCGAGACAACACAGCTGGGAAGATGAGAGGATCATTAAGAGGAACTTTAGTCGTCAGGGCGGAGAGAACCCGGGGATGTGGCTGGTGTGGCTGGTGTGGCCCGCCCTAATATAGCAGTAGCCCTCTAGCACGTCAGGCGGCTCTACTCCAGCACCCT